TGGGAAGATAGATTCAGGGCAGACTTCTGTGTTATGTGCTTGTTGTGAGGATGGGGAGGAGGAATTTTAATCCAGGGTCTCTGAGATGAAGATTGTACATGTGACATTTGCTGGGTGTACTCAACCTCAAGGGAAAAGATGCAACTGAAGTCATTTTTTGCAGAGATACTAGATAATCTCTTCCCTAATGCCTCCACTTACTGCATTCCTGGCGGAGCTACTTTCTGAATGAGACATGAAAATAGATAGAATGACCTTTGGTGAGCTCTAGAGACCCCTCACACCTTTCTCAAAAGTTGTGGTATTAACCTTGTTAACCTGGTCAGATTCCAAGTTGGATAATTACTTTCTCTCAGTGCTCGGTTCCATTACCTCAACTGGACACATTACTCTTCACTTGCCCTTCTGAAAAATTAATGTGACGCATCGTAATAGAGAACCACTCTTTCCATCCAACCGCAAGCAGGGAGATGTGAGTTGGCACTTGGGGGCACTCTATTTTCTAACTGGGGTCTTAGCAATTCTTCAGTGTCTCCAGGGCAAACTGGTTTTATTAAGTGAAAAGAGTAATTTCCAGTGGAGACGCGCTTTTATGACCATATTAACTGTATCGCTGTCTTTTACCATGATCAATTGCTTTCAATGTCCTCTGCCAGAACCCCTGAATCCAGAGAAAAAAAAGATGAGTTTACTTTCTGGGAAAAAGAAAAAAGAAAGCAGACAGAAGCTCAACAGGAAACTAAGGGTTGCTAGAAAACAGTGTATCTCGCACCAAGTTAAAGAACATACTTTGGGGATAATAGTGACCATAAAGATATTTAAAGACCAAATCAAAAGGACTCAAGGAAAGAGAAGTTATTTTATTGAAAAGATGAGAAGTGTTTTCTGTATATGAAATATATAGGAAGATGTGGGGCTATGTCTCCTCAAGAGGGAAGAAAAATCGCAAACTTCACTTACAGCAGAGAAAGACATTTGGGAACAGAAACGGCATAATGAAAAAATGATGTTTGGGTAAAACTGTTATATGAATATTCAAAGGACATTTGTCATGTCTTCAGACTCTGATATAAGTGTTATCACCGGAAATGCTCATTTGAAAACTGTATTTCACCCTATCTGCTGGATAGATGTATAAACTTAATTTAAAATGCAGTCTGATCACCTTTAGTGACGTAACATGTTTCATGCATTTTGGTCAATTTCTCCAAAAGTCAAATATGTAATACTTTATAGTGACCTGGAACTGGGCAAACAACACAACTCAGTGATGCAGCATGTGTAAGTAGCGTAACTGAGGGGAGCAAAGTGGGACATGCTTCTCTGTGTTAGGTTTCTTTTTCTTTTCTACCATAGACATATTAACTAAGAATTTTATTCAGGAGTGGAAACTGAGCAAGTCTTGATATAGGAACTTCTAAATAAGCTTTTGTCTGGCTTACACATCAAAGTATTTGTTCACTGAAATGAACTTTGTTAGAGGAAAATAGAGCATAAAAAAAGAGCTGTGTATTCTAATACCACAGAGCTAGGTTTTATTTTGGAGTAATAGATTTCTGGTTGCTTTTTCAAGAAAAATAAAAACACATGCTTGCTTCGATGAGGTGATTTAAAAAAAAAAAAACAAAGCTTAACCTATTTTTTTTCCCTATGGAAGGTTTCCTTCCAAAAGAAAAATTCCTGATATCATGAAAATGGTCAGCCATGTATTGTAGTGCACTTGTAAACCCAGTACTCTGGAAGGCGGAGGCAAGTTCAATCCTAGCCTGGGGAACTTAACAATTTAATGAGACCCTATCTCAAAATTAAACAAAGCAGGGTGGTATGTAGCTCAGTGTGAAGGCACTAGGTTTAATTCTAATACAGAAAAAAAAAAAAGGGAGGAGAAAGGAGAGAATTTCTATTATAATGCATGCTATGAGTACCAAAACAAGGAAAGACATTTCATGTTATCCAATAACTTTTGATAACTAATCTAGAATAACTTCTACCTGTACGAGTCACAGTGCATCAACGCATCCAGTCTATTACACATTTTGCAGTAGCTACAGAATCAAAATGGGGTTGTAGTTAAAGGGCATCCAGGATCTCCACTGGCCACTCAGCATTTATATATATTATTACTGTGTCCTACATGGCCTTCTAGACACTGGATACACAGGGATGTATGACACAAAATCACTGTTCACATGGAATACATAAGGATGTTGTCATGTGAAGTAAATACAGTATATATTGTATATATTACAGAACATACTGTAATATGTTACAGAACATATATTACAGAAATACTGTATATATTACAGAACAAAGCTGCAGATGTATCAGAAGATAAGTCTCTGAAAATTGCCTCATTGAATTAGAATAGTCTACCCAGGCTGCTTTTTGTTCTGATGGCGTTTAGACCGCAGATATTCTAGATTTATTGTTTTGAGAAATCTCTATCTGATTTCCTTAGTGGTTGTACTAGTTTATATTCCCTCCAAAAATGCAGAAGGGTCCTTTTTCTCCCACATCCTTACCAACACTTGTTATTATTTGATTTCTTAAAAATAGCCAGTCCTTTGGGGGTAAGATGTTATTTTAATTTGCATTTCTCTAGTGTCCAGTGATGTTGAGCATTTCTTTATGTGTTTATTGATCATTTTTACTTCTTCTGTGAAGTGTCTGTTTATGTCATTTGCCCATGTTTTAAAATTATTCTAAGTATCAGTCCTCTGCTTAGGAACAACTGGCAAAACTAGAACAAGAAATTCCATTTGACCCAGCTATTCTGCTTCTAGATATCTTCCTGAAAGAGTAGGAGAAACCATATTACAATAATACATGCACACCCACATTTATAGTAGCACAATTCATAATAGCTAAATTTTGGGAGCAGTATATATCTATCAGTAGATCAATGGATAAAGGAAAATGGTATTTATATACAATGGAGTATTACTTTGTCATCAAGAAAGATAAACTTTAGTTATTTGTAGGAAAATGGATCTACCTTGAGACTATAATGTGAAGTAAATCAGACATACAAGTTTAAGTATCGCAAAGTTACTCATATGAAAAATTTAGATTATAAATGAAGAGCAATATAAAAGATAGATATAGGAAGTATGGAGGTAGATCTTTCTCAAATGGTAGGGGCATCAAGAGGTGGAGAGAAGGGGGAATGAAAAAATGAATTAAGATGCATTATATACATGTATCAACTACATAAGGGATGTAAACATTATATATTATGAACATGTGCTAATAAAAATTTAAAAATAAACAGTCATGGTGATGTTAGGGAAAAAAGAACATAAATATTCCATCAATCTCAATGCATGTGTCTACTCCCAATCCTATTTTAAAAATAATTCAAAAATTTCCTAAAGTATCTTTGATATTTTTAGTCTATAACATCATCCAGGCAGGGTTTTTCATGGGTTAATTACTTAAATTTACACTCTCCTTGCTGAGTAGTGTCTGTGATTAGTTTATTGCCTAGCTCTGGAACTGACAGTGTGAATGCTGTACCTGCCCAGTAGCAGTAGTTGGCATATAATTTAAAGGAGGGAAGAAAGCATGCTTTTCCCTTTTGCTTTTGTCACTTCTGGCATCTCTTGCAGCCACCATGTTGCCTCTCAGCCAAGCCACTCTGCCTTGGAGTCAGCTGAGTATGGACTAAAACCTCCAAAAACTGTAATCTAAATAAATGTTTCCTTCCTTCACTCTGGGCATCAAGTAATTTTGTCTCAGCAATGAGAAAAAAGTAACCAAGACATACCCATTCTATTGTATAAGCTTTTTTCCTATCAATGTCCCTTGTTTTCAACTAAATTCAAACTTCTGGAGGCTATAGACTGGATTTTATTATGCTTTCTCAGATCCTACCACGGTGTGCACTTAAGAGGCTCAATAATCTTGTCATTATTCAATCTGACTTCACAATATTCCTTCTAAAATTCATACACCCAATCCAGAGTTCATCAGTGTCTGTTTTTCTATGAAGAAGAGATGCATATAGCAAGAAGATTTTAGATGTTCAGCTGTTTTGTGATAACATAGCTGTGCTTCTATTCCTGGACTTACTAGCCATGGCAGATGCTGAGGGTTCTAGGTTAGTATCAAGAAGCAGGATTAGATTAATAGATATTGTACTGGCAAATGCACTGTCTTCGCTGTCATGTGAACCCATGTCGTACTGCCCATGGTTGGGTAGCCTGCTCTGAGCATATCGGGGGTCTTCTCCTGTCCCTCCAGGTGGGCTTGGACAGTATTTGGATGAGGAAACAACTGGCAGCACTTTGTGGAAATCTGGAGCAACAAATTCGTACAAATTCCTCAGGGGCAAATGTTATTGAAAAGAACAAGTCTACGCTAGATGGTTCACATGTTGGCTCTACCCTTTTGTTAAATGCTTCCTGCATCCAGAAAACTGTCTTACCTGCCCTGTGCTTGTCCCAGGCAATTTCATCATTTTCTCAGTCTTATCAATTTTAGGCAAGGGAAAACTTGGTATATGTGTCTTGGTGCTTCCAAGTGAAAGTATAAAATACTACACGGATGACATTCTTACAGGAAGAAATAAGGTTGATCTAAAAATATTATTGGGTGTGAAAACAAAGTATTAAACTGTAGGAAGAATACATTAAGGCTGTCAGTACAAAGTTTTTGTACTAGTAGCATGTAGATGCTTTGTACAAAATTCTAGTTCTAGTATCATGCAGATACTTAGTACAAAATTCTGGTACCACGTAGGAGGCATCTCTCTACCATCTTCAGTTCAGTAGTCTTTTAACTATGGTAGATATGTTCCAAGATCCCCAGTGGTCTAAGACTTTCTGAGCTATATCTGTACTAGGTTTATATACATATATATACATATATATATGTTTATTCATAAATTAGACACAGAAAGAAATTAACAAAACAAGTATAACAATGTACTGCAATAAAAGTTATGTGAATGTGGTTTGTCTTTCTCAAATGATCTCGAACTGCATTCCCCCTTCTTACAGGCTGAGCTGATGCTGTGCCTGTGATGAGATGAAGTGAACGGCAATGTGACACACAGTTAGCTGCTAACCAGGTGGTTAAATGACTACCACGAAAGGGTTGGACAGAATGAGATGGAAAGAATGATCCCATCACACTACTCAGAATGGTGCGTGATAAAACTTATGAATTGTTTGTTTCTGCACTTTTCCATTTAATATTTTTAGACTATACTAACCATAGGTAACTGGAATCACAGAAGATAAAACTGTGACTAAGGGGTGACGACAGTATGTTTAGTCAGTAAACGAACTATTATCAAAGGTAATCTCTTCATGAGCCATAACTCAGCCACCCATGACTATAAAAATAAACTTTATGTTTTGTTCTCACACACACAGGACAATTTAATGTAAAAGCAAAAGGCGCCTTTCTCCCAGGGAAGTATATATGCTCTGAATAGCTGTGTAAACACAACTCGATTGCTAGGAGAATTAAATATGGATCAACAAAATCAATAGTTAATTGTGTAACTCAGGGTCTTTCATTTCAGACCTGTAAAGAAGGTCCAGAGGATGTTTACTTTTGATTTTCTTAAAATATTATTTAAAACCCTTCTGTCAGGCAGAAGAGTTCACAGGGTCTTTATGTTATTTCCATAAGTTACTTGGTTTGTAAGTAGTCAAGGTCATATTGATTGCCCAACCTTTCCAGTTTTCATTTTAAAATTCTGTATCATTATTAGGCAAGCTGTCTCTTTTTGAGTATCTGGCTTGTACCTGGGCCAAAAAATTTTTATTGCAAAAATAAACCCAAAAAATAAGTGTCTCGATTCCAGATGTGATATGCTATCTGTATTATAAACTCTTTCATGATGATATCCAGAGAAATTAAGCAGCTCCCCATTCCCAATCCCTGCAAATCAGCAAACTATATGGATCTCTGAAAATACTTGCTTTTGTGTGATATGGCAAGCAGCACTGTGGGGGTGAATTGACCCTACAGATAGATAAACATGCTACCCATTCTGACATCCCAAAGGGACCAGAGTAAGGAGCTGCTGCTAAAAAAATCTCCCAGTCTCATTAGTCCAAATGGATGAGAAGGGAAAGTGGACAGGCAGGCCCCATCTTGCAAAGGGAGATGCACAATGACATCCTGAAGACCATGGGGAAACAGGCAGACTGCCTTGACCCTTTTCATACTATAGTGCAGCTAAAAATGTAATGTTTGAACTTCTTTTTACTTTAAAGTGTAACCTTTCATATAAGTTAAGCCTGGCTCTCTCTTATTGTTAGAAGCCATCATTCATTTCTGAGACTGAACGCAAAATAATTCTTAAAATAATGAATCATTTTTCTCTTTTCAGCTTTTCCAGAAATCCCATGATTATTTTACTGTGGCAGACAATGACCTTCTCCAAGGAGGCCCATCAAATACTGAAGATAAGTAATGAGAGGGTCTCTTTCTCCTGCCTCAAGCAAAAAAATTGCACAGAGGGAAAATGTTTGTGAAAGTGTCAATATGTTCGCCTCAAGACAGGCAGCAGCATGCTCCCTGTGCAATGGAACAGCTCATGTGCCTGGGAGTGACCAGTGGCCCTCACTGGACAAGACTCATGGAGCAGGTCTCCTTAGAGGGACCTTAGGGTAGCCACCTAAGCCCTTCACCCAGAACACTAGAATAAATATATCTCTGGTGGCAAGGAGAGCACAATTTTCAACCTCTTGGTTTGGGAGCCAATTAACTAAAAGAAAGTAAACTCTGGTTTATGGTACCTCCAACAAGGTAGAAAATCGTATTTCTGATTTATGAGGTCAAGATTAACTGTAATGAATCCTCTTTCCTTCATATTCCTGTCTTCCCACCAGACAGAAAATAAGGAGAGAAAGGTGACTTCTTTTATTGTTCTCCCCATGGAAGGAAGGTTTTGCAAAGTAGAGAGCTGCAAACAAAACAGAAACATTGTCAAGATTAAAGTGACTTGGTTATGTGGGAGAATACGGCTGTTTACTCAGGCCAAGAGTCACCAGTCCATGCATTTTATGCCTCTGGTATTTAACCTGCCCAGTCTATGGACACACACATCTTGACTTCAGGAGAAAAGTACAAGACTCTCCAGTGATCAAATAGACAATTCAAATTTGCAGGGTCCTCTTATGGAAAGGAATGGGAAAATGGGGAGAAGAAAAAGAAAATTCTCTATTCTCAGAAAATCTCAGGAATCAATGGGCTTAGCCAGGTGGTGGTTCATGGCAGCACAAGGGAAAAAGTAATAGAGAAATCTCACAAGTAATCAAGATACAAATTGAAATGGCTCAGCAATATCTTAGGACAAAAGTTAGTAGCAAGCAGATAGATATCAAAGACATTAGTTAGCTAACCAGTAGGGGATGGCAATGGGCTAAATTTTAAGCTCACCAAGGGAGTTTGTATTTGGGCTCTGATTCACTGCCTTCTTCCCTGTAAAATGTCCTCCCCACCTTTTGGGATGGCCAACATCCACTCATTTCTTGAGATTCCAGTGGAAGAAAATCTGAGTCATATTCTGGCCAGGAGCCTTGGCCACTGTGCCTTGTCCCTCTGCAGACCTTTGTCATGGCAACGGTTGGCTTTATTGTTTGATTGTCATGGCTCAGTCTGCTATGTAGGGACTCCAAGTCTATTTATCTTTGCATCTCTTGTGACCAGAACATGGCTGACACATGGACAGTTCATAGTGTTAAGGGAACAAAAGAAGAATGATAATTATCTTCTCTATGGGTCATCTTTTTCTTCCCTCTTCAACTCCTTTACCACTGTAACATCTTTTAATACCCTTCAAAGTGACTAAATTCCAAGGAAAAGATGTTTTGCTCTCTGGTGAGAAAATTTCATTTATTTCCTGAGGGTCAGTTATTGTTTAATCACTAGAAGACATTAAGGTCTCTTTTAGGTAGAAAATGGAGATAATAACTTCCTCAGTAAGTAAACAGCAAGACAGAACTTGTTTTCAACAAAAATTTGATTAACATATTACTTGCAAGGGGCATTTCTATTGCCATAAAGCAAGGTCCTTCAAATAATATCACATAAGGGGCTGGGGATTTAGCTCAGCAGCATAAGTGCCTGCCTTGCAAGCAGGCAGTCGTGAGTTCGATCCCCAGTACCGATGAAAAGGAAAAAGACACACACACACAAAATAATATATCACATAGGCTAAAAGCTAGGGATTAAAACACATGGAATAAGTAGGGGTTCTACCATGTAGCGGTGGGAAGATGGACCATAGTAGTAAGGCTTTTAAAAAATCCAAGTATTACATGAAGGAAAAGAAAAACAATGATAATGAATCCTTACTTTACAGAAAAAAGGGTGAAGGACTGACTTGGAATGAAGTCATGACTTGACTTATCATGGTATTTGAAAATACCATGATAAACTGAAAGAACATGAGGGATCTAAAGCACACAACAGATTTGAGAGACCAGGAGTGACTTCTCCAGGTGGAGGATTAAGTCTCCCAGGTCTCTAGGGAGGTCTTTGACCTGGGCTATTTCCATAGGTTCAGAAAGAAATGCAGCATGGCAGAAACCAATTCAGGTAAAGGTAACAGTTTTCTACACATAAGAACTCACAAAAGACTCAGGGTGGAATGGGTATGACTGTCTTTTCTTCAACTCTGTGAAAACTGTGTTTCAAATATGAGTGGGCTGGTATTTCTCTATGCTGGATCCAGTACTTATGATTTCTCTGCCATGTGTATCTATAGTTCTATCAAGTAACTGAGAAATGTTTTTCCTTAAACCAGTGTAACTGGCAAAATGTGCCTTAAATATTCCTATTGTGTATCATGAAACTAATCCTGAAAGTCATGAAACAAATCCAAAGGCTGGAAAGGGTAGAAAATGACCATAAACAATAAATCTAAGTGAAATCCTGCTAAGTACGGAGATATATACATATACACAGGCACACACACATGCACATGTGTACACACACACACCTTTTTCCTGATGCTTTCAGGAATAGATGGCTACAGGAAATTTATGTTAAGGAAAGGAAAAAAAAAAAGGAATTACTTCTATAAGAATGTCAGATTTTGGTTTGTTGGTCAGGGCCAATAAAGATCTCTTGCTGTGAGCCAACGAGAAAAGAAATGCAGTGAGGGATGTTACACTTTATGTGGCCCGAATGTGATTAGTGATTAGCGCTGGCAGCTTCAGTCACTTGGGAATAGCCATCAGGGTTTCTCTCCTGCAACTCTCAACAACAACAGAATACCACTGGCTCCTATCCCATATAATGACAGGGTATTAACTGAAAATCTAATTAATTTGTGAATGAATTATGGCTAAAAAATTTACCATTTTATAATCAATTTTAAGTGAGTCCCTAACGGAAGATAGGATGAAGAGAAAGCTGTAAAATTATAAGAGGTTGGTATACTCTGTTCACTATGACTGATGATTTTAAGGGGGATAATTTTATAATCTATCAAATTTTTGTCATTTCAAAGATCATGCCTCCCAATATATGATGTAAATTAATTTTAGAATTTACATATTTATTAAAAATTGTATTAAAAACAGGAGAAGTGAGCTCTATTTGAATAAAAAATAACTTGTTATTCTTAGTGGAGATTAAAAATAAAAAATATTTTATTTGCAGGTAATATGGACATAAATTGCTATCTGATTTACTTAAACCAATAATTAATATGCTCCAGAGGCAATGACATGATATTGAAGCTAATGTCCCATCTTCAGTTTTAGGGCCTGAAATAGTTACAAGACAGTAAAGCCAGGGAAAGACAAACAGGGAGGTAAAGACTAGGTCTTTGAGCCTGCAGCGTTGTGCATGTCTGAAGCAGGGCTACACTTTGTGGGGAGGTGCAGACAAGAAAACCCATGGTATGACCTGGAATGAAGGAGCCTTGACTTTATTTTAAAATATTCTTTCCAAAAAGTTCCTCATTTTTACTTCTCAAAGCCTACTGGGTTGAATCTCCATCATGACTAAGATTTGTTCAAGGTTATAGAATACCCAAATGTCTGCAGTAGCCTTGGCTGCCAACAGTGCTGGACCCTGGCCAGGCATGACTCCTGGGCACTATGGGGAAGGGTAAGATGTGTATGGGATTGCCATTATGGGTTGATGTCAGAGTACAGTTGGGTGGATATAACCAGTCATGAGGATTATGCCGCATGATAGACTGTCAAGTCAAAGATCTGGCCCTAAAATAGCAATTGGATGGATTTACATGAAGATGAGTCTGGGGGAACAGAGCTGGTGTGTGGTTACACATACCTTTTAGAATAATGGATAAAAAAATAAGCATTAGGCTGAAGGAATGTTCTCTTTAAATTCCTGGGAGAGGAGAAGGAATGAGAATACTTGTTTACTATGAAATTCAGTTTAATCATGGTTTGATGATGTGCATTCATGATAAGCTGTTATTTCATCTTTATGAAAACAAAGCTAGCTGTGGTGGTGCACATGTGTAACACAAGCAGTCTGGAAGGCTGAGGCAGAAGGTTCCCAAGTTAGAGCCCAGCTTGGACAACTTAGTGAGACTCAGTTTTAAAATATTTTTTTATGAGAAAAAAGGTTAGGAATGTAGCTCAATATGAAGGCTCTCTGTTCAGTTCCCAGGGCAAGAAAACACAGAAAAATAAAACAAGAATGAGAGGTTCCTTCTGTTATTCACATTTCTGCAGTGAGGACTAAATACCTGATACTGCAATTTAAAGAAGAGGTCCTTTTCGGCTCTCTGTTTCAGAGGCTTCTGTCTATGGTTAGCTGGTTCTGGAACAAATGACATGGTGTAAGGGGCCTTGTAGAAGAAAACTGATGAACCTCTGACAATCCATGGTAGCCAGTAAGGAGAGAGCCAGAGAGAAAGACAGGGGCCAACTAACTAGACCTTTCCCGGCCACACCCCCAATGGCGCAGTTCCTCTAACCAGACTTCATTTCTTAACAGCTCATAACTCACCAATGGATTAATCTTTTAATGATATTAGCTACACTGTGATAATCACCATCCAAAAGCTCTACCTCTGAACATAGGAGATTTTTGGTGGTCATTTTACATCAAATCCTAGTACCTTCATGAAATACTATGAGTAAGGAGCTTGGCTGATACTGCCTCTGCTGTGTGGAGTTCACGGCATCAAGGCAGACACAGCTAGTAGCTGGCACTCATGTGGCAACTGCTGCCTTCCATTACCACAGCAGGTACTGCTGGTCAGTCATTCTGAACATGGATACATGAATCCTCAGAACTTCCTTAACACAGACATTTGTACAATTTTTACCTACTGATTGTCCTTGGCATTACAAATGGAAGCTACCTGACATCTTTGGTTAGCAGGAGTGCATGTGTATTTATAGTAAGGCTATTTATATATCAAACCTCATGCTGTCACATGTACTATGTGCTAACAATGAAGGCATAATTCTCAGCCTATGCCCAATATGAGACTGCATATTAGTGCCTAATATATGGAATCTAAAGTCACCTTTGACTTCTGTCAGACTCCATACTCACTAGTATTGCTTGTTTATTCTCAGAATCACTTCTCGTTTTTGTCCTGCATCCTAAGAACTACATTTCCTAGGTTCTCCTTATTCCTAGCTCCCAAGAGGTTTGGTCAGTAGGAGACAAAGACAGATGCTCGGGCAGTGGGAAGAGGAAAGAAAAGGTATTTTTTTCTACTTTCTGAGTCCCATGACGTTATTGGTAGCAGCTGCTCCTCCTCTAATCTCTACCTGCGGCTAAAGTAGCTGTGTCTGCCCAAGGTTTTAGCTCTTACTGGTGGACCAGCTTTTAGATTTTCAGGTCACTTTTGCCAGTGACTTTTTACTCCCATGGGTGACTATGATAACTTTTCCCATCTAGTCTCTGGATCATGACTTTCCAGTACTTAGCATCTCAGATACTCTGTTACTTAAGCAATTCTCTGTATTAAGTTCTCTCTACTGAGAAAACTAAAATAGTACTTGTTATATGCAAACCCCGACTGATTGTACTTTAAAATTGTCTGCTGTACTTTAAAAGTATAACCTAAATCCAGTCATTCTTCACCATTTGCTTTCTCCTATCGTTTCTTGCTTGGGTGGCTGTGTGGTTTCCTAGCCACATTTCTATTTTCATTTCCTGATACCCTGTTCTCCTTACAGAAGCCACTACATTCCTTAAACACTGTAAATCAGACCCCACCGCTCTGCTCAAAAATTCTCCTGTGTTTTTCTTTGGCTGAGAATGAAACTTAAAAATCATATATAACTGGCTTCTCTATTCTTTTCCACCCTAATTTCCTCCTGTACTATTACTCTGCTCTAGGACAGGCATGGTAAAAAAGTTCCTAATTCAGGGACTTTTTTCTTGATTTATTCTCTGCTCAATAAGCTTTTCCTTTAACCAATCACACTTCAATGTTCACTTCACTCAAACCTGCGTTCCAAAGTCTCCTCTTCAGACAGATATTACCCAATACTCTCCCTGAAGTACTGTGATCTATTTCCTATTTGTTCATTCTGCTTGATTTGTAAATGTTACACATAATTACTTGACATTAGTCATTCCTCAGAATCCACAGGGGCTGGTTCCAGGAACCCCTCTGGATACCAAAATATGTGGATGCTCAAGTCTCTTCATAGGAGTATACTGTTTAATCTATATCCTACAAAACCTTATATGCTGTAAGTCACGTTTCGATTACTTGTAATACCTGATGTAATATAAATGTTATGTAAACCACTGATATACTGTGTTGTTTAGGGAATAGTAACAAGAGGAAAGCCTCTATTGTTTAGTGCAGATGCAATCTTTTCTGGATATTTTACACTCACAGTTGGTTGAATCTGGAGATGTGGAACCATAGATATGGAGACTAACTGTGTGACATTTTATTATGTTTTCCTTACTAAAATATAAAATCAATTAAGGGCAAGGACTTGCTTTAGGGGGGCTGGGGATTTAGCTCAGTGGCATAAGCACCTGCCTTGCAAGCAGGCGGTCATGAGTTCGATCCCTGGTACTGATAAAAAAAATTTAAAAACTTGCTCTATGTACAATTCCTATTAAATACTATGAACTGTATAAATAGCTTTGAATAGTGGATGATAAGCCCTTATTACACTGTGAAAAATAAAGTGGTCACAGTAATAGTTACTTATAGTATTAGCATAAGAACACTTCTCTGATGAAACCAATAGACATTTATAACTTGAAAGCCCGTTGAAAACCAGGATGTTGCTACATCAATGAAATGAACTATGAACAGTCAGTTACAAGGTGTGCCTTATTTTCCCATAGTTTTATTATCTCTGTCTTTCCTCCTTCTTAAATGCTGTTCCTTGGCACTTATGTCTATCGCAATTGCAACTGATATGGAAATACTACTTTAAAATGTGAAGGTACTGTAGTAGATCAAATAGCTTGTGGATACAGTTGATTGGGTTAATAGTTTTAATTCTGTAAGCTAGAAAATATGTTTGAGATATGCAGGATTGCTGGCCTGCCAATACTTCTGGCCACACATTCCAGCTAGGAGTAATCCTTTAAGGGTTATGGTATCAACAAATTTCTAAGAACTTAGTAGGTCAAAGCCGATTGCTTCCTGCTGAAGTCAAAGGTTTTATTAATTTCACTCTGATTGTTTTCTACTTTTTGGCTCTGAGTGGTCTTATATATTTTACTGCTTCCTCTAAAAAGATATGTTGAGGTCATATCCCCTGACACCTGTGAATGAGACTATATTTGGAAATAGGGTCTTTGCAGATGTAATTAAGAAGTGAAGATAGATCATATGGAGCAGGATAAGTGAATGGAATATGAGGGATGCACAGAGGAGTCATGGAGAGACTCACAGAGGGCAATGCTATGTGAAGACAGCCATGTAGTGACAGAGACGGACACTGGAGTTGTGCCTATGCGGCCAAGGAACCACAAGGATTTGCTGTATAGCTGTCAGTCCTGATATTTCAATTACTTTGGGTTAAAAAAGGCCAATGTTATGCACTAGAGGTGAGGCATGAACTTGAATATTCTACACGATCCCTTCCCTATTCCACCCCGGCAGTCTTCCCTTGCTCTGTTCCTGGGTTCCATAAACTAAGCTCCACCTTTGCTTCATTAGGCTCTAACTTTGCTCCACCTACCCTTCTCCCATGAAGTTCCTGCCTTGGAGCCTGCTGATCATGTACTGGATCTCTTGAATCCATGAGCTAAATTAAACCTTTTCTCCTTTAAGGTACGGGCATCAGATGTTGTGTCTCAGTGACAAGAAAGCTAACCAACACAGGCAGCAATCATTAGAAGCTGGGGCAGTGGGCAAGGCCTTATACCAGGCTGCTTGCTGACACTTGACACCTACACATGTGAAAGGCTACCTTTCTTTTAATATTTCCAGTTTACAGGTATAGTGGCCCTAGGAAAGTAGCTCAAGTAATAGCTACAGTACTTAGCATCATCAATAAGAGCCACTTGGATATATTAAAATTCTAGGTTTTACAATTAAATATTCATGAATTTGGTGTTTTTTTGTTTTTTGTTTGTCCTGGGGATCGAACTCTCAATCTCATACTTGCCAGACAGGCACTTATGCTGCTGAGCTAAATCCTGTTTTGTTTTTTTTCCTGATGGAAAGAAAAAGACCAAAAAATTTTAGCCTTTTTCTTTATTGGACTTAAACATAATATATTTGAAGGAAAACATTTTTTGGTTAATTCTACCATTTGAACTGATGATTACATTAATACTGTAAAATAGAAAATACTTCATTTGAAATCAAAAAGTAATCAGAAAGGAAAAGAAGTTATATTTAGCATATCAGAACACAATGGGATGTGACATGGTTTCATGAGATGTTCCTTTTGCTGCATACATTTGCACCTGGCTCCTCGCATGCATTGCTCGCCTCCCCTGGTTTGTCTCCCCCCATAAATGACAGAAGATTATAATCAACATCTTTTTGCAAATGTGTATTAGGACTAAAACTTTTAAAATCATGGTTGCCAAGGTTTTCTTTACTTTAAAAATAAATTTAGTTACCTACTAAAATTTTTAACGCTGGACTTAGGCCTAGGATTCTACTCCCATCTAGAATTTCTTCCCACAGTATGCTAGGGGAGTACATCTGGTGGGCTGGGATATAAATGTCTTATCATCTTTTTCTCTGTTAGGGATGATACCTAAACAAATTGAGTGTTATATACTCAGATAAACTCATGCCAATTGGGGTGCCATCTGGCATAACAAACAGCATATGACCAACTCTCACTTTATGTCTTTCCTATTAACTATAATCTTTTTACAAGTTGGTGCTGTGTTTTGGAAGTTAAATTGGTTCAAAAATTTGGGTGCAGTCTGAGCTTGGTCACTATCTCCTCATCTCCAATATGGTCCTTGTCTTTGCACTGGCTGCAATAAGAAAGTACCATAAACTGAATATTTTATAAATCATACAAGCTTCTCACAGGTCTGGAGGCTGGAAAGTTCAAGATCAAAGGTCTGATAAATTTAAGGTCCGGTGAAGACCTCCTACATGGTCCATGGATTCCTATCTTTTTACTGTGTCCTCATATAGTGAAAGGGGCAAATAAGCTTCCTGGGAAATTTTAATAGGATACTAATCCTATTCACGAGGACCATACTTTCAGGGCCTCATCACTTCTCAAAGTTCACCTCTGCCATCCTACTGGGAAGTAGCTTTCCAAACACAAACTTTGGTGAGATACAAGCATTTGGTCTGTAGTTCATATGGACCTATGTCTATTAAGTCTGTGCTTATGGTGAAGGAAGAAGCCTCTTCTCCAAATGGAAAACTTCTTTGTTACTTTTTAAGCAAAGATCCAGAAGTTTCAGATTAGAAATATCTCTGACTTGGAAGTTCTGTCAAGTGACACCTGGCACAGTGATAGGAAAGACAAACTGGGGAGGTGGCGAATGTCACATCCCACAGTGTCTTCATGGGAGACGTGATCTCATGACACTGGAGCTTCCCTTTATTGTTTGATTCCTGGCCATGGCTGGTACCTTGTGCCCTGTAATCCTTAAATAAATGATACCTCATGGGAAATTCTCATTGGAACTGCCTCTTTTGAGAGTAAATGTGCCACTCTTCATTCTACTGTTTTTTTACTATAAGCTTTGGGGGCATAAAGGCAAGAATGAATCCAGAAAAGGAAGCCTTGGAGATCTGTGCCTAATCATATAAAGCTGTGCCTGTGCTTAAAACAGGGTACAAGGGTATCTTGTATTTTTCCATCACCTCCAGCTTGGCTACCATTTGCCTTCCCTCATTTGATATTTTTAACCTTTCACATACCACCCAATTTTATGTTTTACCAACTGATTGTTATTTTTTATTTCTTTTAACTTAAAAAATCCTTTATACATATCTCATTTCAGAGATTAATACCCTTCTTCCCATCTTTGTAGCATTTATATTTTTCATGAAAGATTAAACGTGTTTCAGAATATCACCCACTTTAGTAGTTTTCATTTGAGTACTTTGGCTTCACCCAACCTAAAGTAATAAATCGTGTGTGTAAAAGTTCAACACTTATCAAAATTAATTATCAACAAATGTGGTAGTACATATATACAATTCAAAGTAATAAATATTTACTTATATGGATAGAACCTAAGCAAGTCACATGCAAAGCTGATAACTCCACAGGAAGGCTGATTTCATGGCCTGTATTTTTTCGGTAGTGAGTGCAAATTTTAGTTGATTGATCCATTATGTGGAGGCAAGTACTCTTTATAACCAGGAATTCATACCTAATAACCTACTGGGATATTCTAAGTTTTGTAATTAGTTAAAGCTAATAGACTCATGTGGAAAGAGTGATTACATTACTGTTTATTCAATATATCCTATGTTCCAAGCACTGCGAGAGGACTGCACATATATCATCTCCTTTAAATTTCCAGCTTTGTACAGACAGATGAGAGGTACTGCAAAATGAACGTGTTTTCTGATTTCACAGTCCATGGTCTTTTCACTGGTATCATTAGTAGTGACCTTTATCATCTATGCTGCTCACTGCTCATAAATACACACAGAGAGAAAACCAAAGTTTATGAGGAAACCTCCTACACAACTGGCAACTTTTTGAATGATCACATCAGCATCCATAAGTGAGGTCACTCTAGGGCAGTGATGGCAAACTTATGGCACACATGCTGCAACAGGCTGTTGGTGTTATTGAAAGCTCTAAAATGTTCACTGTTGCTGTTCTACAGGGTGAGATAACCAAGATCCCAGAGTGAGCAATGGCTTCACATCCCCATACTTCTTATAACAGTTCCTAAAGAGCAGTTCAGTAGAAGACTCAGCCTGATGATCACTTGCCAGGATGTGCGGTGTTCATGCAAGAGGGTCAGTTCAGACCAGAAGTACCACTCCCATTTATGCCATAGTTTAAGATACTCAAATTTCATAGTTGTAATGATCTGCCCAAAGTAACCTTATCACTCTTTGTTTCTAAGAGTGCTGAACCCTCTGAAAGATGTCATGCCATATTTTATTTTCTGTTATGAAAACTTATAGGCTGTAGGTTTCTCAAGAAATGAAAAAACCAACCAAAAAACAAAAAAACAAAACACAAATTAGAGAACATTGACATGGATGAAGGGAAAAATGCTTTCTGTGGCACCTCCATGACCCTTCTAGAGGTTTCCTTGGGTCAGTTTAGGGGCCCATACATGCAATAACATCTTTCATATTAAAATGATGTGTTTTACAGACTATAGAAAACTAGAATACGACTTTTCATTTAAATGAGTTGAAATCCTTTGGGAAAGTAGAAGAATTCAAGAAACAGAGAAGTGGCTGTTTCTAAGCCAAGAGGAAAAAGACAGAGTCTTTTTGGTTTTCAAATTAGTTGTTAAGGAAAACGTTTTCCTTCCCATCAAACTTTCACTTTCTCCTCTTTAAAATAGATTAATCATAGCTGTATAGGTTTTCTGCGGCTTGTTAAAATGTGGAAAATATGAACAGTGGCCTCAGACTTTCATGAGTAAATTGTCATTTCGTGTTTTGATTAGCCCATATTTCAAACCCCATATGGAGAAAGTGCTCTTCTCACTTGTGGGCTGGTGACTGGCAAGAACATGCTAATGGGATCTGCAGACCATGTCTTTATGAACTGACAATAAATTCCAGAGGACAAAACAGCTTCCAATCATAATTCAGTAGTATGGAACTGTTCTATTAACCATTCTGATGAGCACAGTTCATGTTTCAGAACCCCATCATCCACAGAGCTCTGCTCATCCTTTTCTGCTTAATGAAGGCCACATTTTAAAATCTTTTTTAATTCTTAAAAATATTACCATTATAAATTCACACTCCTGCGACAGTCTTCAAAATAACTCTTTAGGGAACAAAAGATAGATGTAACTGGAAGAATAGAATGTTAACACTGACTGGTTAGTCATTTAACTTTCCCGTGTCTCGGTTTCATTGTATTTAGAATGACGGAATAAAGCAGGATGATGGTAAAGCAGTGTTCTCAAACCAGCATGGTCACCTGAGAACTTGGTAGGAAGGCAAATTCTCAAGCCTCCCTCTACGCCCAGCAACTGAGTTCAGACACAGCGATCTGCATATTAACCAGCTCTTCACAAATTCTCATACATGCTCAGGTGTGAGAATCATTTCTACCAGGTTAATCCTTATACAAAGGGCTTGCCCACCATGTTCTAGAAGTGCAATGCATATACATACATACATTCATATGTACCAGCTATTCCCTTTCAGTTATTATCCCTACATTCTGTTATCAGAAAAAACTGAAACACAGAACCAGGATTTGGAAAGCTGGAAATGGCACCCAGTCTTCTCACTCAGTGTAGCGGTGAGGGCGCTTTTGTAACCCTCTTCATGGGCCATAGTAGACAGTGTTCTGACTGTAAATGCAGAAAGTTGCCCAGTTCTGACAGGGCCAACAAATTCAGGCTTTCAGGAGATTCTGAACATACATTAATATTAATCCAGCTCCTTCCTTTGTGGGATACTAGTGATTGTATTTTGTCAACAAACATTTATTGATCTCACATTATGCTCAAGGCTAAATGCCTAGCCAGTAAATGAATAAGCAACAGGCTTTCTCAAATACTGAACAATCTTACTCATATGTGGAACAAAGGCTGATCTAACAGAAGTGGAATAGAATGGTGGCTACCAAAGGCTGGGGTTGGTGAAGGGGCGAAGGAATTTGGGAGATGTTGGTTAAAGGATCCAAATTACAATTAAACAGAAGGAATAAGTTCAAGACACCTGTCATAAAGTATGGTGACTACAGTTAATGGTGATATAATGTATCCTAGAAAAATGCATCTCGGTATTAAGTATTCTCATTATGAAAATGGCAATCATGTGAGGCATTGCATTGTTAATTAACTAGGTATTACCATCCCCCAGTGTATGTATATTTCAACACAATATATACATGATAAGTACATAGTACTTTTTGAGAAGTCCATTTCACTTTTTAAACTGCTTTTTAGAGAGCTGGGATGGTGGGTATCTTCCCAAAGTACACACTGGAATCTCTTGGGGGGCTTTTAAACAATACTAACCTGAAAATCTGATTTTCCTGGTCTAAAACTTAGTTGACCATACTCTCTGTGTAGAGTGCTACTACTATAACTAATCTGCCTACACTAACTATAATATGGTATATGGTTCATATATACAAATATTCAAATAATTGAGATGTTTACATTAAAAATTACTCCTTGTTATTTTGAAATTCTAATTTGACTGGGAATTCTATACTTTTATTTACTAAGTCTCATACTTCTGTGTAGAGATTCTAAAATTTAGACAAGGCTGAGAAACTTAAACGCTTCAGGTGTTGCCAGAGTGATGGCATATAGGACAGCAAGGCCACATCTGGGTCTACCACACGTTCAGTTTCGTCCATGTCAGTTCTTCAGTCTCTTTATAATATTTGCTTGAAAACTTTTTAAAAATGGTCAAAAATAGTTTGCAAGTATCTGACATAATCCAGTTGTTTTTTCCAGATAAGAAAATATAAGATCCAAAGGAAATCTCTCTTAGCCACTCTATCATGACTAATTAATTGCAGAACAAAACACCAGGTCTTGCTCTTTTCCTTCCACCAGATGCTACTGCTGCCATGTCTCTTGCTGGTTCATGGTGTGTGTGTGTGTGTGTGTGTGTGTGTGTGTGTGTGACAGTTCAAGATTAGAAATATATGACTCTATCTTTTAGATAAAGTGTGGGCAAATATTTAGCAAGTCCTAAAGATGGGCTATGCACAAATGAAGAGATGCTAAGAGCAGAGCTCAGGGATTAAGATGTAGTTTTGGTTTTCAGGAAGCTAGTATAGGTGAAAAGCTAAGTAGTGCTGCTGTCCTTAGGAAAAAACGTCAGCTTTATGGCTTGTTCTCTGCATAATCTGACTGTTCACCTCCTTTTTTTGATCCCAAAGATAAAAATGAGGAGGTTAGAGGACAGAGCTGGATTCCCAAAAGCTGCTGGAGGGAACCTGGCATGTAACCTAAATTCTCATTTTGAGAGTTAAAGGAATGAGGAATATATGATGACAAATGACATGGGGATGACTATTCTTTGTGCAGTGGTGTGATTCACAATGGCTACATCTGTCAGACTTTTTGACAAATGGCCTTGAATATTCTCCAATTAAATGAACTGCATAGAATTTAAAAGTAGCAGGGAATAAAAGAATGTATCTTTTCATTTGTGGAAATAAATTTACTTCCATCCATAAGAGAATGGGTAATTGTTAACAGTGTTTCTGGGCCAAAGGGAAAAATATATATGAATAAGGTATTGAATGGAGTGGAAGTAATCCACCTGCTCGTGACCTCCTGCCTCTGTCAATTTGGCAGGGCTTCTGACGGGCCATGTGGGAGGACAGTGGCTTTCTGTATTGCTCTTGGATGCCAGTGACCCAGATATGGTGGAAAGGCTTTTAGGTGATGATCATTTGGACTTAGGAAGGGGACAGGTCAGGAACAAGACTAACAAGGTATAAATAGATTAACGTAGAGGCATGAGAGAGCTCCTGGGGTACAATGGCTTTCCTCTAAGAATCTGCACTCCAGACAGCCTCTCAGACTCACACAATGCAGTCTGTTCGTATCACTTACATGGTTTCCAGGTTTTGATATCTTCTCCACATTTTGCTTTCTACCCATACTACCAACTCCAGTACCTCCTATGAGTCCTTTAATTTCATGATGAGATTACCTTTTGGCTGTATTTTCAAACTGCTATACATACTTCAGGAAAACAGTATGATTTTTTTCAACAAATGATGTTTTTCTCACATGGGGAACCCTAGAGGATGGTGTGTATCACAAAAGTCCCACCACACATCTGGCCTTTAGAGAAGAAATTGAAAATTCATGTGCAGCAGTCTCAGTGACCAAGGTTACCCAGGCGGCAGTATAGTTTGCCATACTAACAAGGTCTGGACGCTAATGGCCACTACTTTGAGTATCTCTTGTAATTGTGGAGGCCAAAGGTAATTTGTATTAATCTCATGACGTCTTAATAAATTCAATATTAAAATATTTATACAAGTTTTTACTTTCCTGAAATGTGTATACATTTTTTGGTGCTCTATTTCTGTGTGTGCACATGTGTATACATATGTATTTCAATATGGTCAGTTTGGAATATATATAAAGTTACTCTAACAACTCATCTTGGAATGCTTCTTCTGAAGTTATTTTCAGAATCCATTTATTAGCTTCATTACTTCACATTCACAGTTCATTTTTGACCAAAAATTGCATTATTGCATAGATGCACCAGATTTGCTAGTGTATGACACTGAGTGGATTCCAAATGCCATATTCACTCCAGTGAAGAATTGCTCCTGTCAGGAAATATGGACATCATACTGACTACTGGCTGGGTTGTTTTCAGTCAATTGAATAGCTGGATGTGATGTATTGGTTGAACAGTCAAGTTATTCATTCAACAATTATTTATGGAGGATTTATTTTGCATAAGCATTGTGATAGATTTTAGGGATAATAAGGTAAATGAAACACAAGGGAATAGGCTATGTAATTATGACCCTCTACATATATCTATATATCTATATATATATTTAAATTTATTATCTTTGAATTCCTAATAGTTTTTGAATAAATTCATCATGACAGACAAAAAAGAATAACCCCTGGCCCTTATTTCTACTGTTTGTTTAAATTCTAATGTGCTAATTTAAAAAAATCAGTGATCATTATTTGTGGTTACATCTGTAAAAGTTAATTGTCACTGTCACCCAATATCAAACACCCTATTTTTTCCTTTCAATAGCTGAAACTTCTGAAGTTTAATTGGGCAGCTGGCTTCTCAGTTACAGACCACATTTCCCAGCTGCCCTTGCACTTACATGTACATGAGACAAAATTCTGGCTGTATTTTCAAACTGCTATACATACTTCAGGAAAACAGTATGATTGAAGTGAATGAAGAGCGTGGTTTGCCATTTTCTCTTTTATCCTTCATAGGAACAGGAATAGGGATGAAGAATTATGAGCAACTTTAGGTATGTGAGTAAGATAGCACACCAGCATGTGGTGAAGCATCAAGTAAAAGAAACAGGAGTACAATATCTGAATGACTTCATGGAATAATACCACCCAGGAATCATCTTTCTATCACTGGACTGTGACAGAGAGACCTGGAGATTCTATTTTGATTGAGCATTATGTTTTGAGACCTAATCTCAACTGCTAAGACTAGACTTACTTCCTTGCTCTCTGTATCTCCTCTGGAGCTCTGGATGCTCCTAAGCAAGATCATCCCCCATTGGCATCCAAACCTCAGTGTCATAAGAGATCTGGGAGGCTGGGCCACAAGACACTTAACCTTCCAGTTGTAGCACAAATCTGACTCTCCCTGGGAAAATGACTTTCCTGAAGCCCTCAGTGGTGGCTATTTTCTCACATTCTCCCTTTGTATTACTGATGTTGGAGTGGAGCAGGAACCCTACCTTTCCTTCTTGTTGTCCTACGAAGGAATTTCATTTCATCTGTCTGACTTCTGTGTCCCCTTCATGTTACAATCTACAGATTCCTTGATCGCTTGTTAAAGATATTAGCTTGTGGTTTGCTATCACATTTGCAATACAACCGTAATCACAAATCTTGCTGATTTCACTATCTCTGTAGGTGAACATGGAGGCTGCAGATTGTGTCCTCCACTTGCTCTCACAACAACATCAACTCTGGTAGAACCTCAATTTTAAACTTTCTAGTGAGCACTCCCCTGCCTAGTTTCCCACATTTCTCTAATACTTTAACTCAGCAACCTTTGATTGTACTCTGCCACTCATTGGTTCTACTAATGTTTTATGGTTATTCATACCTATCATACCCATTCTTATTTAATTTATATTCCATAGTTCACTATGCTAATCATTCCCTTTTGAATATCTTCAAATTTATTGTCCATGTCTTTGTTGTACCATCTAACAAACACCTACCCTTACTGAAGTGAACAACAAGCAAGCCCTCTGTGAATTGGCACCATGCACACTCTGGGTGTACAGCCAGAGGCCAGCCTCTTCCAGCATGCGGGCTGGGAAACAAGAAGAGCCAACACCCCTAACCCCTGCCCTTGTAAGTGACCAGCTGATACAGAGAAACACAGGCTGCTACGATAGCTGTTGAAGTAAAATACAATTTAATGCTTGTAGTGCTTAGTGTTTCGCTGACTTTGCAGGCCTAAAGCTGGTAGTCTGATTATCTATTCAGAGGGTAACAATACGCAATGTAGCATCTATGGCAGAATTGCCTTCTGAAGGTAGTGGCCATTGTTAATTGCCTATTATCTTGTTTTGAAGTCCTGTATCATTTTCATTGTTTTGTTGGGTTGGGCTTTATTGTTTTGTTTTGTTTTGATTTATTTTCTTATTTTTGATAACATAGATAGCTATTTCTCATTATGAAGCCATCTCCAGTGACTCCATACTTTTATAGCAAAAATCCTTGAAGGATTTGAATGTATATGTACAATCTTCGATTCCTTTCCAGTTAGACATCACACCCATCATTCTACTGAGAAGCCTCCTGTCATGATCTCCAGTAACCTCTATGAAACTCCAAGGGTTAATGCTCAGTTCTTGTATTACATGACCTCAGTATCACTTGGCATATTTAATCATTACTTTTACTTCAAACATTCTCTCATAATCTTGATTTACATTTAAAAAGTATAGTCAGGTTTAGACTATAAATCTTTATGCAAAATCTCAGTGGGATGAAATTCTAAAATGGGAAATGTTTACTTCTACATGGGGAAATACTGGGAGAAAGTGAAATAATAAATAAAAGCAAAAGGAAGACCCATGAGCTTGTTCATAAAATAGATAGTACCCACATTTTAGTACAGAGGTTCTGATAGCTGAAAAGAACCTTAAACTTCAAGTACAATACTTACATTTTGTAACTAAGGACATCAAGGATAAGAGAGGTGATTTTTCTTGTCACTGAGTAGTGGCATGAGTCTAGAATCTAGCTTTTGGCTAGAAGAGCTTATCCCAGTATCTGCTTTTCTTCTCATGCAAATGTATGGGTGTATTAATACATCATAAATATTGATGAGAAAATATATATGACTATATATGCAACACATAAATACAATGTATATTTATACATATGCATACACATTTTTAAAAATGACTTTTCTCCCCAAATGATGGGAATGTTGAGCAGAGTGCATGTATTCTCTTTGTCTGCTCTCTCCTGATAGACTGGTGTCCCACATAGCTCACCAGGGAACAAGCCTATCTTATCTCTAAGACAGGGCCAATGCTGAAGCAAAAGGACTACAGGAATCCCTTGAACTAGCTGAACACTGTCTGAATGTAAGACTCACTTCCCTGGCCCACCTTCTCTTTTCTGCTGATGGAAGGAGGCTGGATATGGGAAACAGGGAGATTTAGGTTGGTCCTGGCTAACTCACTGGGTAAGCATTCAGTGCTTTTCTGGTCTAAACAATGAGTCTGTGTTCTTCTAAGTCTTAATTCTTCCTTTCTAAGCTTCAGTGTCTGGAATTAAAGTTCTTTGGGCTGATCTCATGCTTACTATATTCTAATCTTCTAGTTGTAGGTTCTATTCTATGACTTATTAGCCCCTCATTACTGAGCTTTTTGCCTGGCTAGATGTGTACTGTCTTCCTATCTGTCTTGTCCCTCTTTGCTGTTTGCTAGAAGCTTGGCTGGACTATCTGATCTGTGATTTGTGCCATATCTAATTAGACATTTGGTTCCAGCTATAGTAACACAGCTGTTCCTGGGCCTGATATGACATAAAAGAATAAATAAGCAACTGGGGATGCAAATGTTATAAATGAGAAGATGGACATTGTACTAAACAAAAAATACTGAAGAGGAGGGAGGGCAAGAAGAAAAAAGATGAAAAGAATGGCATCATGATATTTCAGTATAATATGTACTCTGATTTAAAAAGAATATAATAAGCTTATAATATATGGCTTGCATGATGGTTAATTTTCGGTTTCAACTCAATAGATTAAAGGATATGCAGGCAGTTGCTAAATAACCCTGAAATACACTTGTGAGAATATCAAGAAGGGGTTGGTATTTGAATTGCTGGGCTGAGTAAAGAAGATCTGCCACCACTGTGGGTGAGCACCACCTAATCAGGCGAGAGTTTTCATAGAAAAAAAAAAGGCAAAGGAAAGATTTCATGGGGCTGGGATATCCTTCTGCTCTGGCCCTTAGACATAAGAGCTCCAGGTTCTCTGGCCTTGAAATATGTACCAGTGGGCTTCCAAGCTCTCTGCTGCTAATGGTTTCCCTGGCCTTAGCCTATAAATGGCTTTTTTTGGGACTTTTTGGCCTTCTAAATCCTGTGAGCATATTCCTCTAATAATTTCACTTTCAACTGTACAGCCAGTATATATACATCGTATGTGGTTAGGCATCTCTAAAGAACCCTCATTTCTCTTGTAACTAGGAGGAGTGGAGTACGCAATAGAGATGAAGAGAAAATTCTGAGTTTAAAAGGTAGGAAAAAGCATAAATTGAAAGCAGAGAAAACTCTTTTGCTTAATGCATAACAAAAGCAATATATGGGAACTCAGAATTCTGGGAGCCCTCAATCATGCTGTACACTACTGGTGTAATATCCTTAGAGTCATTTTTATATACAGATCTTGAAAACTTGGATTTTAGATTCTTAGAAGCAGATTAATCGAAACTAATATGACAAATTATCATCCTTGAACTAACCATCATCTTTCCCCACTAATGTTTATTTAATATAATGCAATAAATGGACATTGAAACCCTCATCCAATCAAAGCACTATAATATTTTTACTTGGTTGTATCTGCCTACCTGCTCAATTTGCAGCCCATTCACCATCTCTGTGAAAAGAACCACTATGATAAATCTAAATGTTATAATTTCTTGCTCTTTTTTCTTTGCTTAGTTTCATTACATTTTGCAGGCTAATGTACATTGTCCAACTGGCTGGATTAGACTTCCAGAGATATGGCTGCACTTTGAAGGCACCAACTTTATGGCTGGTTTAACTCACTGATGACCTCACAGCTGAGTGGAAATAAAAAGATGGGGCTAGTTACAGAAGGTAGGTCATGAACTATAACCTTGAGGAATACACCTGACCCTGGTCCCTTCTTCTATAGCTTGTATCCAGCTCTCTGCTTTCATATTTCATGAGTTGAGTGGCTCTTCTCTGCCACACTTGTCTACCATAATGTTTCTGCCTTGAAGTCAAATGGACTGAAAACTCTGAAACTGGGAACTGAATTAAACTTCTCTTCCTTTACAGTGCAAGTAGCAAGTATTTTGTGTGAGCTGACAAGTTCAGTCACACATATTCTATTTGTTTTCCTTAACGAAATTTATAAAACAGCTGAGTACATTATGTATCAACGTCAATATATCAACATTGATATCAGGGCTGAGTACATTGTAGAAGACTTGCTTGATTCATTTGCCTGGTATTAAGATAATTCCACAAAGTTTCATGTAGTTGTGGTTCTTCCTTTTCATAATTGCACAATATTTTACTATGTCAATATATTGCAATGTGTTTTACCAATATCTTATAAATGAATAAGCTGGAGGTAACCAGACATTTTTCCTTACAAACAATCATATATAGATACTTTACTTCAATTCTGAAACTCATGTGTTAGAACAACACACACACACACACACACACACACACACACACACACACACACAGAGTGGAGTTAGTGGGTGAAGGAACATGAGAATGATTATCCTTCTAAGACAAGGCCAATTTATATCCCAAGGTAATCCTGACAGTTTAAAATCCTGAAGAAATGCAAACTAGATGCTATCACTTATGTTTTATCCAATATAAGATATTACCAAGCTTCAAATTTCTGTCAGATAGTCGTAAGTGGTACCTCAATGCCACCTTCACAAAATCTTTCCTGATTACTAATCTACTTTGAGCATCTCTTTGCATGTTTCTTACCTGCATTTGTTTTTAGGCTTTAAAATGCCTCCTTGTATCTTAGGACCAGTTTTACCCATAAAATTATGATCTTTTGATTCTATAGGATGTTAATTTATATATAAATTCAAGTTATATATAAATTATGTATTTATATATTAAAATACATTTTGCACATAACATGAGCTCATGCAATTTTTATAATCAATATATTTATACTTTTATAATTTATATTTACATACAACATTTATGTATTTACAAATTTTAGGATATATAGAATATAATTTATAAATGTGCACTTGATTTATATCTGAATTATAAAATAATTATAAGTATATATGATTTGTATATACATATACATTGTAGATAATTTATAAATGTCATGTTGATATTTTTATATATAGTAGAATCTGCTGGCTTATATCTAATGTCAGCTTCTTTTTTCTCACTTTGTATTTTCACTTGCAATGTTCTCTAAGATGTCCCTGATGAACAAATTCAAATAACTTTCAAGTAATTTTAATGCTTTTTGAATCTGGTTTGAGAACAATTTTTTGGTGTTTAGGATCCAATACATGGCCTTGTGCACGCTGAGCAGCACTCTCAGCTAAGAATGATTTTTTAAAAGCTGTATTTCTAATTTATTTTTGCTTTTGTATAGAAAGTCAAATAACTTCTTACATGTTGATCTTATATCCAATCACCTATTACTATAAGGTAGGTGAATATGGATGAAAGAGTGTATGATGTTGGTTTAGTGTAGTTCTGGGTGTGAATAACAGAAGTCCTACTGTGGGTGTGGATGATCAATACGCTTGCAACCTGGATGAAACACAAAGAGACAAACAGGCTCATCACCGGTTCTGCCATGGAGTGTTTCTCCTGGGCCTACCTTTCACCCAGCTGATTAGGATCTGTAACCTCTGTAAACTGCAAGCTGAAATAAACCTTTCTTCACTTAACTTGTGGATATTTGGTATTGTGTCGTAACAATGAAAATGTAATTAAGATAAGCATCCCAATAGATACATATATTCTGAAAAAAATCTCTGTAAATTCACCAAAAAGAAGTTTGTGCTTTCATTTTTTGATTTTTTTATGCCTAAATCTTGTAACAATATTTCCTACCATTTTTTGAAATTCTGTATCATTTTTACCTTTTATTTTGTTTAAAAAAATTCAACATGCTAGAAATACTTCCAGTTAATGGAGGTTACATGAAAAAATCCCTAATATGATGAAGCTAATTTACCAACAAATAAAAAAATCCAAAGACTATGAAATTTATAATAACCATCATCATCCTAAACAGGGAAACATTGGTAGTATTTTCTTTAAAATCAGGAAACATGCAAGAATGTCTATTATCATCACTTCATTTCAATATTAATTGGACATTCTTTGGGAAAAAATATAGCCTCTTCACAAAATCTTATACTAATCTTTCTTTTAAACATGACTGTTAAAACAGGTGTTCTTAGACCTAAGGTATGGTGTTTCAAAAAAGCACACTGTTCCTACCCAGAATGAATGAAAAAAGTGGTATTTTTATACAGTAGAATATTCTCAGCTATTAAAAGGGATGAAAATGGCTTTTATTGGTAAATGAAGGCAACTTGAGACTATCCTCATAGGTGAAATAAATCATAATGACATTTGTAAATATTGTATTGTCTCTCTGGTGTAAAAAATAAAAAACTGAAAGAGTAAAAAGATCCAAAATGTATAATAGATATTGTAATAATGAAAGGGAAAGTACTCAAAAGGAAAGAACAACTTGTATGTATAGATATATAAATGTATGTGTGATTTACTGTGCAAGATACATAACCATACTACTAAGTTTTTGTTAGGACATGAAACAGAATAGTTTGTGATGTCACTGTTTGATTGTCTGATCCTTTTTTTATGCTTTGATTTTGTAACTTGAACAACTACTTCTAAGATAACAATATGTAGTATATGAACTAGTGAAGATTTCTTAATGTTAGTTTTTGAATTTCTGTACCATTTCTATACTTTTTTTCTGTTTTGTTTTTAATTAAAAAATTGTCAGTGACTAAGAAAATATGCTCAGCAGCATGGTATATTTTATAAGTCAATACACAGAGGTGGGTACATGTTATAATTTGACATAGTTGTAAATTCAGGAGCATTATTCATATTAAATATTACTTGGTTTGGAAATAAGTAAGTTGAACCCATATTGATTTTTTCCTCCAACAAATGAAGAATTTAAAGAGCTGTTTTGGTTCATGATTTTGTTCATCTTATGATCCAAATGTTATACTAAATAACATTTATGATTTGAATGTAATATGTGGGTGAACTTTGCACTACATAGCACTGAAATGATACTATATTTTTAAAATATCTATTTTTTGAGAAAGACACTAGAAAACTTGTTCACATATACCTTGTTCTGAAATCCTGAGTTTTGAATTAAGTGAATGATTTATTTTGGGATCAGTTCCTTCCATTAGATGAATATTTATTAGGCGCCTCCTATGTGGCAGATACAGCTCTAGGTACTGGTGACACAGCAGTGGACAAAACAAAGACTTGTCCTTGTGGTGGTTGGGTGGCTGGAAACATGGTAGTACTGTTCAGCAGCAAACACTAGGGTAGTCTAGGGGACTCAAGAATAAGGGTTCCCTAACTAACACCATGTATATTCCTCATCTCCTTGAAAATCTTCCATTTCTGATTTTTAGGTAGCAGATAAATGTCTCTGTTGATTTCTTCTAGGACTGGGTCACTGCATCCCACCAAAGCTACATCTCATGAAGCCTTTCTTGGTAAATTCATTCACAAGAATAACAATGTCCAGCACTGCAAGGCACCTCTCATAGGGAAGTGTTGCAGACACTGTCACATTAAAGATCCTACAGTCAGGTTTCATCATCGATCGAAGGGTAAGAATCTGAGCAGACAGAGTCTCATTGATATAGCATAGTGGATATTAATTCACATTTGTGTGATTCCAAAGCCTCCATGAGCATTTCCAATATATCTGGTTGCCTCTTTCTTCCATTCATTTACTGTCTCAATAAAAACTGATTTATAGATCAAAGAGAAGCAAGAATTTCATGTTGTTCTCCTGAGTTATGCTGAGTAGAGTCTATCCACAACTGATAAACATGTTATTTTTCCCAGAATATAATTCTGTGTAACCAAAATATCAGCCAGGCCTTCTTTTCCTCTTCTTTTGCACAGGGCATGGTACAGAAAAACTTAAGTGAGAAAGAAAATTTTTCACAACTATATTTCTTTTCAGTAGAATAGGCTTACATGTAAAATGGTGAATCCCATAATTATCTGACAATGAGGGGAGATTAAGCTGAGAATAAACAAGCATAGGACAAATGATATTGACTGACCCATCTATCCATCCCTCCCACATCCCTCACTGTGAATATGATACAACCAAGCAAAAATCCCTGCCTGTGTGGAGCTTCCCAGGCAGAGGGATAGTATGCAGAATAACTTCTAAATTCTCTGTCAACACAAAAATTCTAGTTTATTAAATATAAGGAGAAATAGTAAAAATAAGGAGGCAATTTGTTGTTTTTGAGCAATGGCTGCAGGACAGATACAAGTTTCAGGGTAGATTCACTGGCCATGGATGGCAATCAAAACCAGCTCATTATCCATGCTCCTGGCCTCCTGAACTCACTAGCACACACAGTAAAATGCTGGTACCAGGTTAACAGTGCAAACTGCTCCCATAAAACCACATGACTCTCTGTTCCATTAACTGACTGTGGGGGAAGTCTGACAGTCACAGGATGTCACTGCTCTCTTCTGATCCTCTCTTCCTTTTCCTAGGAAAACTTCTCTTCACTTTTATTCCTATTCAAACCTGACTCTCAGAAGCCCCTTCTAGGAAGACACCCTGATAACTTCACTCCTTTTGCTTGGAATCAAGTTGATATTCAATTTCAGGGTTCCTAGGCCATTCATTCACCAGGCCTTTCAGTGAACAGTCAGGAAGCACTTGCCAGGGATGCTACAGATTCAACATAAGATGTTCCCCTCCCACATGCTCAAGAACAGTCAGAAGAGCCAGGCAAGGATACTCACAGCTTGATAGTCAGGGTACAGCCAAAGTGTTATGGAATCCTACAGGACAGCGTGAGCCCGGATCTAGGCTTCTGACTTTGAAATGATGTGTCCCGAGCCCTCCTTTGACATGGGAAAATAAGATTCTAGGATGGCTTACAATGTAAGGCCACAGAGAGGGAGGAAGGGAATAGGACAGTCTCTGTACTGTATTTACATCGTCTCTCTACAACTAGCCAGTAAGATCTGCGCCAGCAGCTTTGTTTCATACTTTCTCCTCTCTATTCCCAACAGCACTTAGATTTGTGATGGTTTGTGGTGAGGCCCTAATAAGTCCTCAAGTAGTGTGATCATAATCTTGGCTAAGGGGATGTTTGGTTTGGCCTAAATGGGCTGTGATTCTTCTCTCAAACTTGTCCCTTCCCCTGTACACATTCACATCTGCAATGAGAGGTCTCCAAAGGTAACCAGAAAGGAACAGAGAGATATCCCACTCAATGAATCTGCTGGGGTGCAGTGGAAAACAAAGGACCTTTATCTACTTGGACATAGGCCTAGGAACCTGTTATGTATGGTTTAGATCCAAAATGTCCCCAAAGTCTCGCACATTCTGAAGTGGGGCTTTTGGAAGGTGACTGGATCATGGGGCTCTTTACTCACTGGTGGATTAACCCACGGATGAGTTCATGTGATGCTGAATGTGATGCTAGGAAGTGGGGGCTGGACAGAAGTAGTGGGTTACAGAGGTGTGACCCAGAACCGTGTTCTCGTCCCTGTTCCCCTCCTCCCACCTTCCTGCATCCCTCCCTTCTTTCCCTCTCCCTTCCTGGCTTTCATGCGGTGGGGAGTTTGTGCCCTTCCGCCATACTGTTTCGTCCTCAGGGCCAGCTGATCATTCAGAGACTGATACCTCAGACACCATGAGCCCACATAAGCCTCTCTTCGAAGTCGGATATTTTGTCCCAGCATCAGAAGAGTGACAATGTAATGCCTTTTGTGTTAATTAACTTTAGAATCTTGGGGTAAAAGTGTCAGATTATATTGTTAAGTCCCTGTAGTGCAAAAACTG